ACGTGCCGCGTGGCTCGAATAATCGTGTCTCCTCCTCCTACATTCTCCATTTTTTTTTATTACAAGCGCCGAAGGAAAAATTTGAGAGAAATTACTGCATTACGTTTACCTTTTTACTAAGTAAAGTAAATACTATGCCGTCCGACACAGTCCTGTTTCGCAGTCTGCGGCTGGATCCTCCAACAACAACGTTTATATGTAACGTCGGGCTGTTTGCCAGTTCAAACTTTCCCCGGCGAGTCTTTTATAAACATCCTCGTGTACATCGTCAGCTGGATGACCCGGCGTAGGCTGACGACACTTCTCTGTTGTCTGGCACGTCGCTTTTCGGCGGGCCAAATTTTTCTCCGCGAATTAGCCACAAAACGCTTACGCTGTTAGATCAAACATTTCTTCGCGAGAACGCGGTGTTCAGGGTTTTACCATTTACAGTAAATTCTCCCTAATTGACGGTCAGCTTGTACACGAAAATGGACAATCCGCAAAGAGGAGACACGATTATTATTATTATTATTAAACTTTATTATTATTATTATTATTATTATTAAAAAAATTATTATTATTATTATTATTATTATTATTATTATTATTATTATTATTATTATTATTATTATTATTATTATTATTATTATTATTATTATTATTATAATACTTTATTATTATTATTATTTATAGTTAAAAACGAGCCGCAAGAAAGACTCGAATAATCGCATCTCCTGTTCGCAAATTGTCCATTCTTGTGCGCAAATCTGAGCGTCAATTAGGGAGCATTTACCGTTACCGTTCCTCTGAATTTTCAGGGGCCCGAGCACAGAGTATCGCACGACAATCCTTATTACGTTAATTAAATGAAGTTATAAATGATTCTAAGCATTCTCGGCTATGTTTGCATTAAAAAGATCCGCCTCGTCGTTCGAGCGTCGAATACATTAAAGAGCATTATCGCGTAAAATGAAAGAAAAATATTGCGCTTGGTTCGACGGCGATTAATAGCGGCGATTAAAATCTGCAAACGATCGGCTGCTTGTAATTCGATCGTAAGTGGAAACGGCGGGCGATGAAGAGACACGTTTCGTTTTCACGTAATGGCCAGCACGTTCGTTCGGCTGAAGTGCAAATTCAATGGTATCGGAAACGGTGTTGGCTGCAGAGAAACGTCATCGAAAATTTGTTGTTATTTTGCCCTTTGTTCTTGTTTTGTTACAGGATTACAATGCTTCCGTTAATACCGCCGGGGCTAGATCGGCGTGCTCGGTAGCTCTTGAAAAGATTCGTCAAATTTTGCCGAACGGGTCATTCGAATGTTTCGAAGCGGAGGATCGTTCTTTTTTTTTTGTTTTTTTTTTACCAGATAACGACCCCTTTTGTCGGCGACACTGACTTCGTCGCGCGTGTACCATACGACGAGAACGGAAAACGCGGAGCGTCGAGATTGATAGAATACCAGGAACAGATCCATCGAACAAATCCCGAAACATCAAAGCGGCGCGGAGTGACGTATCCTCGCGTCAACTTCGAACGCGATAGAAAAATGATATTACTTCTGTGAAACCTTCCCGAAAAAATTGCTGGCAATCGTTTCCGCTGAGAAATACGGCCTATAATGACGCTTCTCGAAATCTTACAATTATAGCCTTTAAATTAATATTATATTAAAAGCTTTCAGTTTTTCACATGTTTTTTTTAGTAATTATATAGCCTTCACACGATGCAAATAATAATAATATTTGTTCTTTAATGCTGACAATTGTTCCCATTATATTAAAATACCATAAATAAATAAATAGTTTTGGATCCATCGAATATAATGAAAATAATATTTCGAATATTTTATTATTATCTATTTCAGACGCGTGAAGTGAGAAAAATAATTTTGACCAGCGAAATCGGACGATGCGCATCGTCCACGCGATGCAAATAATAATATTTGTTCTTTAATGCTGATAATTATTTCCATTATATTAAAATACCATAAATAAATAAATAGTTTTGGATCCATCGAATATAATGAAAATAATATTTCGAATATTTTATTATTATCTATTTCAGACGCGTGAAGTGAGAAAAATAATTTTGACCAGCGAAATCGGACGATGCGCATCGTCCACGCGATGCAAACAGGTCTCAAGCATTCTCGATTTTACAAACGCAGATAAAATTTGGTAAATTTTCTTTTTATCTAGAATCGCGAATGTGTCTTGTCATGCTTGAGCGCCGGGTTTAACGATCCTAATATAGCCGGGCCGAAGACGACGGAAATGACACAGATTTGCGATCGGCAGTTTCATATATGTACCGTAACCTCAATCAAATTTAATGATCTTCAGTCATCGTGATAGACGCGTTTCACGGATCCCGAATTTACCCGGGGCATTTCTCCAATTCCAATATTTGTAATATGTAACCAGATCCGAGAAATAGACGCACGAAAGCACGGAGGAATCTCTCTCCTCGATACTTCTACCCTTGATTAGGGTTTCTCTTGTTATAGCGAACCAGCAAAATCATTTGATCCTATCAAATTAATTAGTTATCGCGTTGAACTATTTTAGAAACGGCTCGATTATCGCGCTGGCCAATTTGTGGCCAATCTCTGTGCACACGTTAAACCATCTATGTAGACGTGTACATGTGTGTGTGTGTGTGTTGCATCTCGTGTATACGTCACAATCGAATTACAGTTAATTCTTTTCTTTCCATTGTGTACGTCAGCTCTGATCCAATTTAATTCGCGAAATATTAATACCACAATTTACCCGAACGGTCGGCTAAGGTTATTATCGTTTATTCAATTATTTTGCCACCGGTGGCTGTAATAATGAAGCTGGTTTTGTTAATACGATAACTACAATTTTAATTTGCTGTTGCGTGAATTGTTTATCTGCACCGCCGCGCTATATATAAAAAATAGCATTTTAATATTTAAGGGAAACTTTTATCGACAAGGGCTGTTCTCAGTCGTGAAATAGTATAGTTATAGTTATTATATAGTTATATAGTTGTATAGTTATACCACTTATAAAATAGCATTTTAATATTTAAGGGAAACTTTTATCGACAAGGGCTGTTCTCAGTCGTGAAATAGCATAGTTATAGTTATTATATAGTTATATACGTATATAGTTATGTAATTATATAATTGTATAGTTATACCACTTATAAAATAGCATTTTAATATTTAAGGGAAACTTTTATCGACGAGGGCTGTTTTCAGTCGTGAAATAGCATAGTTATAGTTATTATATAGTTATATACGTATATAGTTATGTAATTATATAATTGTATAGTTATACCACTTATAAAATAGCATTTTAATATTTAAGGGAAACTTTTATCGACAAGGGCTGTTCTCAGTCGTGAAATAGTATAGTTATAGTTATTATATAGTTATATACGTATATAGTTATGTAATTATATAATTGTATAGTTATACCACTTATAAAATAGCATTTTAATATTTAAGGGAAACTTTTATCGACGAGGGCTGTTTTCAGTCGTGAAATAGCATAGTTATAGTTATTATATAGTTATATACGTATATAGTTATGTAATTATATAATTGTATAGTTATACCACTTATAAAATAGCATTTTAATATTTAAGGGAAACTTTTATCGACGAGGGCTGTTTTCAGTCGTGAAATAGCATAGTTATAGTTATTATATAGTTATATACGTATATAGTTATGTAATTATATAATTGTATAGTTATACCACTTATAAAATAGCATTTTAATATTTAAGGGAAACTTTTATCGACGAGGGCTGTTTTCAGTCGTGAAATAGCATAGTTATAGTTATTATATAGTTATATACGTATATAGTTATGTAATTATATAATTGTATAGTTATACCACTTATAAAATAGCATTTTAATATTTAAGGGAAACTTTTATCGACGAGGGCTGTTTTCAGTCGTGAAATAGCATAGTTATAGTTATTATATAGTTATATACGTATATAGTTATGTAATTATATAATTGTATAGTTATACCACTTATAAAATAGCATTTTAATATTTAAGGGAAACTTTTATCGACGAGGGCTGTTTTCAGTCGTGAAATAGCATAGTTATAGTTATTATATAGTTATATACGTATATAGTTATGTAATTATATAATTGTATAGTTATACCACTTATAAAATAGCATTTTAATATTTAAGGGAAACTTTTATCGACGAGGGCTGTTTTCAGTCGTGAAATAGCATAGTTATAGTTATTATATAGTTATATACTATATACCTTTATAATTATATAGTTATATAGTTATATATTATATATAGTTATACCACTTATATATCAGGTGACTCATAAAATGTCATCATTGATATTATCAGGTGATTCACGGTGTCCACCTGTCTCCCATCGTCGACTATGAGTTTTCCTTTGCTTGTTAGATCGATGCAAAAATTGTTCCCGTTTTATTTCTCATTAATGCAATCCTTATTTATGTAGAACCTGAAATATTTCAACGAAATCGTGATTTATCCAATACCATATAAAATTGGATCTCCTTTACGACATATTGTACATCATTTCCAGTATATTTTAACACGTTGTTTCCAGTTGCAAAATATATCCATCGTATCAGAGTTTTAAGAAAAATCATGTGTTAACATATCATTTAAAAAAGCCAACTGTACAAAGTGTTGGATAAATCACAATTTCGATGGAACACTCCGAGCTCAGCACAAATTTTCAAAGTTACGAAACGTTCGTACCGCGTCCCCTCCTTCTCCCCTTGTTCCGCAACGTATCAGCTTGTACGTGAAGAAAAAAGAGATCATCGCTCTATCTTATTTCGGTGAAAAAGTTCCTGGATTTTGTCGCAACTCCGTCGCTCCGCCCCGCCGCGCGGTGTTCCGCGCCGTGTCCAGCGGAGAGCACGGAAACGGTAATTAAAGACATGTAGCAAAAGTTTTAACGAACGCGGCGGGAAAGCTTTGTTCCAGAATTTTTGCAGGCTGTACACGTTGTTTTGTATGCCGTACAAAGGATACATCCTAAGGGATCCTGATTTGGTGCCAATAGCGAGGAGCCTTTGAACTGGATCGAACGCCACCGCCGTCGGCTGATGCGGGAAGCCATGTCTGAATGTCTGAAACATAAAGGCATTTGTTTCATTTCATCTTTCCCGCTTTAGTCGGCTGAAAGTCTATTCAACTACAGAAGGGCTGCAGAACAAACAATATGAAGTGAAAGATAGCATTGTCCCTGTAGCTTTCAATACGGATATATTTAGCCGGGTCTATGTGACAATTTCAATGCTGCTAATTCTATTCTTCTCTGGCTAAATAAAAATACACCGTATACGGTTTTCATCCAGCCACCTTTCCGCCTTAATTTTTTCACGTTGATAATGCGCCTGCTCTTCTCCCTTTTATTTTTCCAGTCACGCGTAACTATATTATTATTATATTATTATATTATAGTAGAGTATAGAGTACGCTGAATGGCAAAAAATGTGAGATATTATTATTATATTATTGTATTATTATATTACTATATTATTGCAACCCTATATATATTATTATATTATAATAGAGTATATTATAGAGTACGCTGAACGCGCGCGCAAAAAAAAAAAATGTGAGTTATTATTATTGTATTATTATATTACAATATTATCGCATCACTATTATAGTAGAGTATATTGTAGAATACGCTAAATGCAAAAAAAATGCGAGATATTATTATTATTATATTATTGTATTATTATATTACAATATTATCGCATCACTATATTATTATATTATAGTAGAGTATATTATAGAGTACGCTGAACGCAAAAAATGTGAGTTATTATTATTGTATTATTATATTACTATATATTATCGCATCACTATATTATTATATTATAGTAGAGTATATTATAGAGTACGCTGAACGCAAAAAATGTGAGTTATTATTATTGTATTATTATATTACTATATATTATCGCATCACTATATTATTATATTATAGTAGAGTATATTATAGAGTACGCTGAACGCAAAAAATGTGAGTTATTATTATTGTATTATTATATTACTATATATTATCGCATCACTATATTATTATATTATAGTAGAGTATATTATAGAGTACGCTGAACGCAAAAAATGTGAGTTATTATTATTGTATTATTATATTACTATATATTATCGCATCACTATATTATTATATTATAGTAGAGTATATTATAGAGTACGCTGAACGCAAAAAATGTGAGTTATTATTATTGTATTATTATATTACTATATATTATCGCATCACTATATTATTATATTATAGTAGAGTATATTATAGAGTACGCTGAATGCAAAAAAATGTGAGATATTATTATTATTATATTATTGTATTATTATATTAGTATATTATTATATTATAGTAGAGTATATTATAGAGTACGCTGAATGTGTGTGTGCAAAGAAATATGAGATATTATTATTAAACCGTGAATATGTACACAAAACTAAATTTTCCACGAGTAATTTTACTGCAATAAAACAGATGTTTCCTCCTAAATACAGTTGTCACACGTTAAGATTGAAAGAAAGGAATTACCTATTAAATGTGAACAGACCTGGTATTTTATTGCACGCACGTAAGAGGAACAATTACGATATATCTCGTACAATTAGAACAAGTTACTATGTAATTACGTGGAAGCGAATTAGCCGACAACTTTGAAATTAATTTTTACGCTCGCAGCGCTGTCTAGATCAGCCTTTATATCATCTTCGAAAGCGTATCGGTTCCTGTCTGTTAACGGTCTAGAACATTCTTAATAGTGTGTATTGGATGGTTAACGTTGCGCTACAAATTTCTCATTTAGGAGAACCTGTCCTTCGCAGTCCAAAATTGGTGCGCGAGCCTCGAACGGCTCGTTCGAATGCGGCTCTTAGGGTCGTTCGCACTTATCCGGTAAGTGGAGACAACGCGAGCGTTTCTTGCGCGCTAAATCTGAGTTTACTTGCATACAATTTATCTTATTTACAATATTGTTTAGACACAAGAATGCGTCTCCAGTAATTGAGCCGTTTATTTTGAAAGTGGCATAAGTCACTTTTTTTTTGTTTTTTAAATAAAAAGATACCGTTCAATTGTAATTAGTGTTACCATTAACTCGATTTCTTTGAAAAAGTGACTTATGTCACTTTCAAAATAAACGGCTCAATTCAGCTTTACTCTTTTATAAAAAAACAGTGACTGAACGGAAGCGTTACAAGTAAATTAAACGTTCCGTGGTATATGCATGAAACAATTGGTAATAATTGTTAATAATTCTAATGATAAAGAATAAAACGGAAGGAAAGGGGGAAAGTCTTCCATTTGGATGAGAACGAAATGAAAACGGCAGTGACGGTAAGAATAATAATTGAAAACGTCGATCAAACGGAAGGAAATATTAATTTAAGCTTTAATTTGTGTGCATGAAATTTAGACGATTTCATCGCAGCGAACGTAAATCAAATAGAGGGAAATATTAATCAAATCTTTAATTAATGCGATTCCATTCGATGAAAACGTTGATCAAACACAGTAGAGACTCTCTTATCTGAAGGTTTATTATTGTAATATCATGATACCAAAACATTTTATTATCGAAACATTTCATTCAAGTTCTCTACTAGGCGATAATGTATCTAAATAATGCAACGATTAGATAATGGAACGTCTGGATTCAAGGATATTGTAAAAATAAATGTTCGGATAAGGGAGTCACCATTGTGGTAGGAGATATCAATGAAATAAAACGTTTAATTTATGCACACGTTATTTTGACACACGTGAAATCAACGGATATTAATTGGCGCGTCTCTCGCGACGTAGCGATGTTCGTGTAGATAATACGTACGCCAAAGCGATGCAGATCAGAAATTTTAGTGTTAATTATACCCAATGGGCGGCAATTTATTCGCATGAAATACAGTGCCGGGGCGATGTATCTCGTCATCGACGTGCAATTAGGCGGTGATATGAAACACGAGAATTTTCGTTATCTATTCATTATGTGTTGACATATAAAACGCCATTGTTAACCGTGTAACTAGGAATAGATACTAACGCTTATGTTTCAAAATTACCGTCTCTGTCGAATCAATTAACGTTTCGGAATTACTTGCCGCGATTACGCGGGTCTATTTAATGCGGTAAACAATGTTTAAATATTCACCACGTTAGGAGATTGTTTTCACAGGTTAATTGCCGCAACGCAGAATCGAGGTATCTTATTTAAACGAATCTGTAAACTAAACGATCAAGATACGTGTGCTGTATCATTATATTATTATTATTTTTTTATATAATTTATATATATAATTTAAAAATAATATAATGATAATAATATAATAATAAAATAATGATAATAATATAAAATATATAAAATATATATAATATATTTTATGTTATTATCATTATTTTATTATTATATTATATTTTATATTATTATCATTATATTATTTTTAAATTTTTACATTTCATAAGATCGATTCGAAATCGTCGCACACAATGCATTGACACGGAGATAAATTTTCCAAGGTAAACGAAAAATTGCTTAAATCCCACGTGAATCATGCGTAATCGACGTTTTAGAGAAATTTATATAGAGCTACTTATAGTCTTTGCGATGCCATTTATCACTGGAGAGACGATAAGTTATTTCGACATGAAAGATCGATAAAACATTCTCCATTAATCAGGAGTTTTATTCGTTCCTGTTAACCTATAATTGGTCAATATGAATCCACAAGTCCGTTTTCTTGTGTTTTTCTTTCCTGTACTCATTTTTTTAAATTCGTGATTTCAATTCAATCACATCGTAATTCGTGATTTGAAATCAATCACATCGTAATTCGTAATTTTAATTCAATTACATGGTAATTCGTAATTTTCTTTCAATTACATAGTACTTCGCAATTAATATAATTTAATTACTCAGCACTTTGCAATCGTACTCCAATCGCAGTTACGAATTAGATCGCAATTTAGTCGAACGGAGATCCGAATTATGAATTAAAATATGATTGAATTATAACGTAATTGAATTACATTGTGATCACAATTCCTCGAGTAATTCAATCGTAATTCTACATAACTCTGTAGTTAACGTTACAATCTCGCATGCCTATTCTTTAAATTACGGCAAACGATTTCAATCTTAATTAGCCAATCGAGAAGAGAAGACGTAATAAGATCCAAATTAATGAATGCGAACGTTTCTATGCACTTTTTGTTCTCTTTCGAACAGCTTCCGGTACAATGTCGTTTCATTATACATTATTGATTGTTCGAAATGGCCCCGAACGGAAACGGGACACTAAATCAAATTACGCTTCATTCATAATTCATATTTTCGGAAAATGAAGACGACCGGCGAAACTAACGGCGGAACTTTTAACTAATTTTCGCTTAATATCGGGCGACAACTGTGCGGAATATTCTCTGCGCCCTTATGTATTTATGTGTAACTAGGCTGCGAACGTGTACGCTTCCATAAAACATGAGAGCGCACAAATCATCTTGGCAAAAAATGTATAACGAAAACTTTTTTTTATTATTATTAATATTATATAAATAAATATAATATATAATATATAAATATATATAAATAAATATAATCTATAATATATAAATATATATAAATAAATATAATATATAATATATATATATATTATATCTATTTATTATTTTTTAAACCAATTTTTATAAAAATCGATTCGTGGAAGGGCAAAAACTTGCTGAGAAACGATGCCGCTTCGACAATTGAGAAATTATGTTGCACATATTCGCAACTTCGGTAGACGCGGCAATTGTAACATCGTTTAATGTTCGCGCGAACACACATTTCAACTTCTAAATTTGCCGATTCTATCTGTTCAGCGGGAGGCTTTCGTTAAAATAGAATAAACATAATTAGGAGTAAGCATTAAAAATTATGCAATACCGCATTATGTAAATTTGCCACGGTATGGAACGAGGAATATCTCGACGTAATTGGAAAATCTGTGTACTTACTTATTCATCGTTCATAAAACAACGAATGCACACTCGTGTTCACGTGCTCGACATTATTTGACTGCATCTTTTGCATATTTAACCGCATCGAAAATATCGAAAAGTAACTTGGATATTTCATGCAGGGTGAAAATTCAGGGCAGTGAATTTTTCACGTGGAAACAATAAGAAAAAAAGTGTCACTCCCATTTAACCTTGTTTTTTTAGTTATGTACATGAGTTTTATATATTTTTTAGTTTTTTGAGTTTTATATATTGACAGATTGTATTCTAATTTTGTAAGTATTTCCTCTCAATATCTCATGCATTATTATTATTATTATCGTTGTTGTTATTTATTTAGTATGATACAGAAAATTTTCCTATTGTTAGATAACGCCATAGTGGTGTAATTAATTAAGTTAAAGATTATATTAATATAGATAATAATATATAATATATATAATAACATTATAATAATATAGATAATAAAATAATAAAGATTATATTAATTAGAAAAAGATTATATTATTTACAGGCAATAAAATGAAACACAATATGATAAATATAAATATAATTAAGTATCATCAATTATGCAATTGTAGGGATGGTCCTCGTCTCCATCGATGCAATTTTAACGTAAACCAAATAACAGAAATAACATCGTATCTCTGCATATAATTTACGTTACGCTAAATCCAGTGCTGGAAACTTTTGTTTCGATTTCTCGTTGAATTTCCCATCTGAAATTTTCACCGGATCTAAAACGATTTCGGAAACCGGTTAGTTTGTTCCGATGGAACTTGCGTACGGCCGTTAAACGAGTTCGTTCGAACATTATTTCCATTTAGCTCATCCAAAATAGTTCGCCAGCGCGGCTAAACATTCCCGCGAATGTTCGCGGAACTGTCGAAAATATTTCGAGCCCTGAATTTCCCATTCGCCTCTTCCGTCGAACTTTCATTCGTGATCATCGAGGGGACGGCATCAATTTCTATCCAGACGATTGCCGTTTCGCCTGCGCGCCGTAAAAACGCGTCATATCTCTTTCTGACCCAGTTTTTTTCAAATCCTTCCGCTAACTTCTCAGCGTCCAGCAGCTGACTCAAAATGTATTAAGTCTCACGGAAGAGGAATCTGCGAAGACCGACGAATCACGTTTGGGACTGAAGTCTTTGAAACCGTCGGGAAAAGTTAATTACAACGAATTCGACGACTAGAAACGTGTGTATAGTCGGTGCAGAAACCAGTTCAACGGACTTAAAATCCTCCTTATTACAAATTCATAATATTTTTGATATTACACAGGTAAATGTGTTTCATTATATTAAATCCT